CACTCACGGAGTAGATGGAATTCGTGTAGTTCAGATCCTCATACAGAATCCATAGCACACCTCCACCACGCATGTAAAGCGCATCAAGCAGCGAAATTGTTATGCGACCAGTTCGATAAGCACGTTTCAGCTGCCGCGGCCATCGGAAGCAAAAATCCGCATTCATTTCAACCTCCGCAACTTCCCAGTGAGCTAGGGCCTGAGAGAGCAATGAAACAGCCTCATCCAGTGTTTTCACTGAAATAGAATCAATGTTAACAGGTGGGTTCCCGCGTGGTGCGTGCAGGGCAAATGCAGTGTCCGTAGGGAGGTTCAATTCATTGGCCAGTTCAAAACCATCCGTAAACGAGTCAAGAAAATACCCATGGATGCACTGCGCGACTTGTTTAGTTATCTCTTCTAACTCGAACCTGGCATACCCGGACAAAATTTCACGTATCGCACCTGAGGGTTCGTCCGAGAATCGCTCCAACCAATGCAGCACATCATGTACCCGCTTCGCGCCTTGAGACTGTTTTATTAGGCATTCGACGCTATCAGGCGGGCGAACGTTTGAACTTGTATCATTGTTCAAAAGCACCGCTAGCAGAGGAAGTAAATGCGGTTTCACTTTGTTCAAACAAGGTGGATATTGGCAGAAAACGGAACATGATAATCCATAGCACGTTGCAGACTGTGAGCCACAATCGGCGCATTTCGTTGGCAACTGCTCACATGTAGAGTTTAGTAAAGAGAACGGAATCACTCGGTAACGTGATGGGACAAGCGATTGAAATATGTAGAAGTCGGAGTTGTTACTCATCAGCGGACAGTTAAGTACCACAGCGAGTTCAGCCATTTGCAATTTAGCCTTACGGGTGCCGCAAATATATGGGACGCCGCATTCATCTAGCAACTCCATCACAACTTGATGGGCGAGTTTCGGTAGTAGATTTTCGAGGGAAGCCATCCTGTCTGGATCTGCAGATGCTCGGGCCTGTTGGATGAAATCCCACAAGGCGTTGATTCGCTCCATGTTGCGATCCAGTAACGTCTCCCGTTTGCCGCCCTAGAGGGAATAGTAGATAAAGCAAAAGGCGAAAACGAACATATTAAATGCTGTTGGGTGAATAATAGGTGAACGCTGTTCTATGTTGCTAGACCCTATCGTGGCTACTTTGCATGAATAATCGAGGGTCTGCAATATGACATCAAAGACGGTTGCGAGCCGTTTTCTTGGGTGGATGGTTTTAAAAGCTTAACAGTGAGGAGGTGCAGAACACTGAAAATGTAACCGAAAAAGCACTTCATGTACATTCGACATTGCATTGCTTAGCTCGTTGTGGGCTTAAGTGAAGTAACCGGTCAGCAACTAAATGAAGCTTTCTCAACAATCTTTTCACTTGCATTACGCCTTTTTATTGAAATTCGGCAAGACGTTGCACGCCAAAAGCACGACGGTCTCCACAAAAGCGCACAGAGTGATGCTGGACATACTCGAAACTGTTCGTGCGGAATTCCTACACCTGCTGGAGCCTGGAAGCATTTAGTCGTTCACATAGCTCCTCGTCTTCGCGCTTTAATACAGTGTAGGGAAAGCCAGGAGGCTGGCGACATACGATTGTCCTGCATTGAACAATGCGACGATTCAAGACAAAAATACCATCCCTTATTTCTCAGACGCCCCTACAGGACATCTTAGTTCCCCTGTCTTCTCCAAGATAGACCCGATAAGCATAGGTTTTCCAACAAGGTAATATCCCATTACTGCTGCCTAGTCTTCTGATATGCCTTACACTGCGCAAACATTTAAGCGCTTGATAGACTGCTTTATACATGACCTAGATCGCGTACACCCGCACAGCGATGGTATTTTCGTGCAAGTTCACCAAGATCACCTAGAACTATTGTTCAAATGGCTGAATATGAGCAACAAGGTGAACTCAAACGAGCGCATTTTTAAACATTCCCTCATAGACCGACTCAAGTACAAACCGGATTTCTAGGGCATCTGACATATAAATGAGAGCGTTTGTACAACACGTGACTTTCCTGACCCTACCATTCTAGCTGCCTTTCGCCGTTTCAAGGATGTTGTCAAGAATCTTTGTCATGCTCTACTGAGGCGATGCAGCTGCTTAAGGATTTTCTGCGGGGATAAAACAGCCACAAAGTTGATCTTATGCCTGCAACGGAATAGGCGTTCAAAGCCAACAAATATGCATTCGCTCCCATCGTCAAAGTGCATCACTGCGACGCAAATGCACCAGTCAGTTTGGCCTTCAACTCGTTGGAAAGTGTAATCGCCGCTGTCCTACACCAATATTCCGACGGTAACTGAAACCCGTTGCGATCCATCTGTCAACTTACACAGACAGCTAAAATGAAGCACAGTACATTTCGCCGCCAGTTGCTTACCGTCTATGCTGCTGCTCATCAATTTTGGCAAATCATGCAATGTAATTCCCACTATTAGCATCGACCACAAACTGGTGATCTACACAATCAGCATGGCAACCATCGCACCAAGTCGGTCATATGGACTTCGTCCCCGAGTAATTGCCTTGGTTACGACTGGCCAAGCGATCGATCTACCAGCTATGGCCACCTCGCAGCAAACCGATAATGACTTGCCTCTTGCGAGCAATCCACGAAATAAGTCCGCCGTCCACTGGCGCAATAATTTGGAACATCTCTTCAGGAAATCTACGTTCCCTCGTGCGTACTGCATTTCGACCAACAGTCTTCGTTAAACTGCGAAACACCGCACATTCTGGTGTTCGGGTATCACTCAAGCCGATTTCTGACAGCTACGCTTTACTCAACATGCAGCGTGAGGTCAGAAACTGTGCATGCAAACTTTAGATTTACCAACGAGCGAACCTTTATCGACACCACGATCCTCTTCAACTGGACACATCACGTCAGTGTCCTACTGAATCGCTCTCGTCCATGTCGACATAATAGGACCATTTTCGCTGTCCAAAAAGATGACTTTATTACTGATCAATGTAAATCGCGTCAAACGTTTGGCTAGAAATTGCCCCTGTTCTCTGTTCCTGTAACTTTTCACTTGATACGAATGGCTCATGATCAAGCCTCAAAACTGCCAGAGGTTAGGCATCAACTCGCTCATTCACCTAACCTTACTAATAATCGAGACCGTCAACACCTGTCTGTGTCATAATACTAGAGGTTGCATGTGCACTTTCATCTCTGAATCTACCCTCAACAGCAAGCATTTGTGTTTTTCTATGGTTTCCAACAGCGCAACACTTTTTCTCATGTTGCTTAACGGGAGATCTATTAACGTCACGCTGCACTGCTAAACATGATTGCACAGTTGAGCATTCCCAGTACAAGTCACGTCACTAAAACATGGTACTGTACTAATACGTTTAAAGGCAACTCTATAAATCTCCGTCTACCAACGCTTTCGTAGAGATGGTTGAAAAAGAGTTGGGGGCAGATGTTGCACATATATTCATGGGACAATTACCTAGGTGTCTCATGACCACCTAGAGATATAAAACTTCGCTAAATCCCTGTGATTCATTGTTACCGGTACGTCCCATCATATGTGCCTCAAATGCATCTACAACTATCCAACCAAATTCTGCACCGCATTACATTTTCGCATAAGTATTTTTGTGCGAACCGAAAATAATAACAAGGGGCATCCATCTCAGAATACTTGTCTTCATTAGCACATAGAGAAATAACCATTATTTTATGGCCGGATGGACTTGCTACGTTAAACAACGTTGTCGCAAACATCGAGCTATTGGACAGTCTCCATGCTATTGACCGAGAGAAATAAATATTTATCTCCACCAGCAGAAAAAATACATCAACCTGCACCCGTTCTCGCAATACTACACACATCTCTCCGGACTGGGATAAATTTGTTCCACCTAACCTTTGCATAACTACATCATAGTTCTACACTAACAAGCATTATGCCAAAACACATCTTGGTCCACAAAGTAAACGTGTCTCTTACAGCACTAAGAAAAATAATTTGGGCTTCTTCACCCCGAAGATGCGCAAAATGCTAGCAAAACACTGCATTACTGAAGTCTTATCAACAACATTGCGATCGCACGAATAGATTAGTAGGATCAAAAGTGAATAAGCGATGCGGCATAAAAGCAGAGGAATAAGGATTTCGGAAAGTGTACGAACGAAGTAAAATCGGTGCTTTTCTTCTAAGGAGGACCGGAAGCGTCTTTCAAATCTTTATGAACATGGTAAATCCTTTAATGAACCCATGCCGATTCGTGAAAATTCCGCTTCCTTTTTGCTGTCTCTCGAACAAAAGACCATCTGGTGAGCAATCGCTTTCAATGATTCATCATCAGACCATTACAATCATATAGAGGCTAGAATAAGAAATCGACCCAGTTAGTTCAAGATGACTTGATCACCTGAAGGTCTATGTCAGAGTGGAGAAAACGAATTAGCTGTTTGCTACCGCGTCTGACCGAAGGCAGTCAACCTGGGCGTCTTCCATATTCGCTGGCCATGGAAGCTGGAGAGCCTGGACCAGCTTCTTCTGTGAGCATAAGGACGGCTGGAACAATCGAATGCATATTGCTTCAGCTGTCGCAAGCCTACGAAGGCGGTAACCTTTCGGTCGGTGCGGTGGAACCTTGTAAACTATTCGGAAAGCGCGTTTCCCATCCACCTCATGGCCGGTGACCACAATGTGGGCCAGGATGGCGCTACTAATGGGCCCGGTACCCCCTTGACGCAGCCAAGAAGGGCAACGTTCGTCCACGCGTTTGTATAACTGCCGCGCCGTTCGACCAATATACGTCGCGCCACAGGCGCACACGAATTGATAAATTACCATTGAGGTGGTCAGCATCGGCAGCTTGTCCTTGTTTTGTGAACGAATGAGTGGTTCCGTTGAGAACACGCACTTCAACGAGGCTGCTGGAAAGGTTGACTTTACCGCGGCCGAAAGGCTTCTGGTTAGACGCTCGGTAGCCGCGTCCCCTTTGAATGGTAAGCGAATATATAACTCTTTGGAAATTATTGAGAATACCTGTAGCTCGGGGTGTGGATGAAAGGATTGTCCTGTTCTCCGATCTTGGCATTTCTGTTGCAGACGTTTCGTTACCAAACTAGGTAACATCTTCAGTGCAGCTATTTAGTGCTGATTCGCGGAGTCTCGCAAACCAGATCTGGCATTGGTTTGCGAGACTCCGCGAATCAGCACTAAATAGCTGCACTGAAGATGTTACCTAGTTTGGTAACGAAACGTCTGCAACAGAAATGCCAAGCTCGGAGAACAGGACAATCCTTTCATATAACACTGGCACTGGTTTGGATTTTTCTTGGAGGTTCCTTAGTATAAATCTATCGGGATAACCGTTTTCACGTAGAGTGTTCTGTAAGAACATTAAATCCGCGTCTAGGGTGTCTTCCGTACAGATTCTACGTGCTCTTGACGTAAGACAGTGTACCAAGTAGCGCTTCTATCTCATGGGAACGAAACTGTAAAAGTTGTATTTCTGCAGACCTGACGCTGGATGGATCCGTCTGGTCTCCTAGTCAACAAGACATCGAGATATGGTAGCCGATTATTGCTTTTCTTCTCGTAACTAAAATGCACTGTTGCATGCACTCGGTTGAAGTGGTCAAGAATTTCCTCCAGATTAACATGTTTATCCACCACAACAAATATATCGTCCATGTATCGATGATAGCGTACAAAAACGTCTATCACCGCCAGCATTTCGGTTTTCTCCAGCTTTGCCATGAAGATATCCGCTAATAGCGGTCCGAGAGGGGATCCCATGGCCACGCCGTCCTTCTGCCGGTAGTATTTCCCGTTGAATAGAAACCGCACATTCCAGCTGCAGTGTAACAGTAGGCCCTTGAGCTCACGCATAGGTATACATATTTTTATTCCTGACTCTGCTATATAGTCGCAAATGTAATCGATTGTCTCTACCAGTTGGGCGTTTGTAAAAACTCAGATGACATCGAAAGATAACATTAATTTCTCATTGATGTTATCATCCTTGATGCTTTCGACGAAATGGAAGCTGTCACGAAGGCTGTAGGTAGCGAGCTGTTGTCGCACAGTTTCAAGAATTTCTGGGAGCCACTGAGCAACAGCATGGTAGGGTGTGTTTACCATTGATAAAATAGGACGAAGTGGGATGTTGGGTTTGTGGATTTTTGGTAACCCATATAGTCTTGGGACGCTTGTGCCACTCGGTTTAAGGCTGTCATACAGAGCATCTAAAATGTACCTCTTTGCCCGGTGTTCTTGCAAGCTCTTAGTTATCTGTATTTCAACTTATTCAGTTCGGTCCCTTTCTCCTTTAATACACGCATACTTTGTCTCATCGCTCAGTATTGCTGTTAGTTTATCCATGTAATCTTTTCTGTCGAGTAACACGATTCCGGCACCTTTATCCGGTCTGCATAGGACGATTTCCTCACTGCGCTTTAGTTCTTTCAGCGCATCTAGATGCCTTCTTGTTAGCAGGCCATGATTACGGACGCGGAGTTTGCGATACTGGTAACAACAATTCACCAAATAGCACTTGAAACGCTCAAGAGCTGTATTCGATTTAGCGACTAGCCATTTCGTCTGATCATATAAGCATTCCAATTGTAATTCACAATCAAGCCGGTTATCACTGCGTCTAGGAGCGCAAAACTTTAAGCCAAGCGATAGAACTTCCATCAAAGTTGTGTCCATGTTCAAACTAGAACAGTTGTGTACCTACCTGTCTGACCTGTTTGGAAACGTGGCTAGCGGTTTAAGCTGGCTTAGCGACTTTGCTAAAGAAGAACGCCTCCGCTGTACCCGGTTGCTAGTGATAGATTGAACATAGTCCAGAAACATTTCCTCTTCTTCAGCAGCTAACTCATCCGTTGCTGTTTGGCGTTGCGCTAGGTTTCTTTCGTATTGAGCAATCTTGGACTGCACGGTATCACGTTGGTTTAGTGCATGTCGTCTAAGGGTCTTCGTACTGAGATAAATCCGATCACGGAGTAACTGTTTCTAAAATCTGGTCGGATATTTAATATGCTCTACGCAATCATTGAAAACTGAACACAGCATTTGTCTTCAACAAGCTTAGTGGAGAAGTTAAGAAACTGATTGACCTCCTTCATCACTAATGGGGGCTTGGATGATTTAAGTAACTTGAAAATTCCCATTTATATCTTTAGAACAAAAGACCATCTAGTGAGCAATTGCTTTCAATGATTCATCATCAGACCATTACAATCATATAGAGGCTATCTCCACAATTTTTAATCTAATCCTCAACCTGAATTCCATCAAACTACAACAAACAATAGCCTTCGCAATATAGAAATCCTGATCCCACTGTGCTTATCAATCGATGAAAACCGTCAAATATTCTCGCAGATTGGACTGCGACGCCATCACCAAAACCGTCAATAGACTTACCACCGCGTTTGTTTAGTATAATCACTTCATCGCTACAAACTAGCAGTTTTCGATTCAATGGAATAACTCGTTCATCCTCCCGTCCTAACAAAATGGGCCCAAATAAAAGGGTACAAATTAATGACTGCTTAATTATAATCCCATATACTTCATTCCGTCTGAAAGATGGCGAAAACGTTGGTAGAATTCCTTAGTTAGGCAGATATGTTTAACATATCCCAACAAAGTTTCCTGTACGACCTGTCTACTACACAGCAACTAGCTAACTACGATGGAACACGTGCATCTGTGAACTTACCTTTAGTGGACTACTTATTGAAGGCGCCATAGGTGCTAACGGCCCCTCTTTCGCTGATGGTTTCCACCCAAGGCTCTTGCAAGGGTACGCTGCAGCTCTAGCCTTACCCCTTGCGGATCTGTTCACCCACTACTTCTCTCAAGGCAAAGTTCCCAATGATTGGAAATGTGGGACTAGTACACCAATCTACAAAGGCGTACTCACAGAGACCCGGCCAATTACCGACCGATAAATCTAATCTCTACGATCTCCAAAGTACAAAACATGGATCGTCACAGCCGCTTTAACCGACCACATGGAGGCCCAGAAACTGCTTCCCGATTGCCAGCACGGCTTCCGGCGGCAGCTGTCTTGCCTGAGTAACCTGCTACTTGCTAGGGATAGCTGGACGAGTGCTGCTAACTTGGGCCTAGAAACGCATGTTATATTCTTGGATTTCGCCAAAGCCTTCGCTGAAGCCTTCGACAACGTCGACTACAACATTCTACTACAGAAACTGTTGTCTCACGGAGTTTCAGGGGCCTTGAGCTACTGGATCCGGAACTACATTCAAAAACGTACCGTCAAGTACGCGTCGACGGAGCTTTGTCTCCCCGCATCATTGCCACAAGCGCAGTTCCACAGATGTCTGTTTTCGGACCGGACCTCTTCCTATCTTTCAGTGATTACGTCACACCGAAAGTGCAGTCTTGTCTGCTGCTATATGCGGATGACGCGAAGCTCTGGCGCACAACTAACCTTCCGGACGATGCCCACGCACTTCAGACGGGCCTCGACCGTCTACTTCAGTGGTCCATAGATAGCAACCTTCCATTTAACGCTTCAAAATGTCGTGTCCTTTCTACACACTTTTCCGCTGTTTCTCCTATATATTACCTGGGAGCGTCTATCCTCCAGATCACTTCAGCCAAAAGGGACTTGGGTATCATTACCCAGACGAGTCTTTCCGTATCCGCTTCCTGCTGGAAAGCAGCTACTGCTGTTAGCCACATGGTGGAATTGCTATGACGGGAATTTGGTCAAATTGACCTAGCAATTTCCGCCTCCTCCTCAACGCGTATTTCGACCCCACTTGGAGTTTGCTAATCAGGCTTGGAGCCCCTAGTTGTTGAAGGACCAACGTATACTCGAAGTCCTACAACTGCAAGCAACAAAACATGTCCGAGGTTTAAATCACCTAGACTATCCACAAAGACTTCACTGCCTGGTCTTCTACTCGCTTAAGTACCGACGTCTCCGAGGCGACCTGATCCTCGTATTTATGATCTCATCAAACCCTTTACATCCCTGTCGCCACCTACTTACACTGCACCAATCGTGCTCCTACATACCTGACCACCCACTGAGGATCACACATCAGCACATTCGGCTGAATTGTAGACGACACTACTTCGTTTTGCGAATCTGCCTACCGTGGAATGCTCTGCTCGCAAACTTAGTCTTGGTACCCACTGTGGCGGATATTAAGACCCGCCTGGACTATCAACTGGCTGAGCTACACTGCGATATTCCCTGATAAATCTACCTTTTAATTGCTGGAGTTACTTTCCTTTTTTCTCTTTCACCTAATTCCATTCCATAGCCGTTTCCGAGGGCGTAGTCGAATATCACGTTTTGAGCCGGCGTGCATTCTGTTTAAAGGTCGCATAAGCCCGATGAAGATACGGCTAACACGCGAGTCCAACACGCTATAAGGTTGCTTGCCATTTCATCAGACCCGACCCGAACTCATATTACCCTATGAGTCATACGAAGCTGGAGAATTTATTCCCATTAAATACAGTGTGCCAAGGTTCCAACACCTCGGTCTATGAGTTACAGTGTCCTGAGAAGTGCACCTACACAATGTCGTAAACAGATTGCTTACATGTCACGAAACATTCAATATGGCATACATATGGTAAAATCTTCTCTAATCGCCCATTAGGCTGCTCAAAAATACTTACACAGTGGCATTCGTCATTCACGGAATACTGATCCATAATCGTCAACTGCCCAGGTATGCGTTGCGTTGAAAGACATATACTAGTATATATACGATTGACTGTATAGACTCACACTTTGTTCGAGGCATCCACCGAAGATGAAGATGGGCTTGATGCAGCATTGTTGCAATAGTCTCACAAATTTCAACACATAAATTTGGAACTCAATCAATTCGCCACCATAGTAATTCGCTAAACCGGATTCGCGATAGTGGTTGCTCACCAAGTTATCCGCATCAATCACCACATAGGTGTTGTGAAGTCGAGTTAACTTGAAACTCCCGGGGTTTCGTGCGATAAAGCTGTGTAGACCGCGAACGCCCATCACGAGAATGCCGTGAGCATAGGTCCGACTTTGTTAACTACGGGCTCAGTTCGTTCTGAAATTGACGTCAAGCGGTGTGTTGTCATTGGCCAATGGACAGCAGGCTGCAGCCACGCTGCTGGCCCAGTGAAGTCGCGTTGGATCGAATACTGCTGCAACTGTCTGATTACCATACCTAGCCCAGTGTGCGCCAGGCCGAGGTTTCGAAATGAAGTCGCCTACAATCGATCAATAGCACATTTCGCAACTGAACATGAAGCAGCACACTGTCTCACGCTCAGCAGTCACCGAAAGGAGAGAGAAAACCTATCCACACCCACGCGGCTGATACACAAAGGTGCGAAGTTCCCTGCTTCGACCGCAATCAAGGTTGGTGCAACTCTCAAAACAAGTGAGGCTGGTCTATGTCAGGCCATCGGAGCACAGACCACCCGCGCTCACTTAGCTTGGTAATGCACGACAGTTCGATCGGCTAGTGCGTGGTACAGAAGCAAGTGCTCGTATTGATGAACTTTAGCGTCGAGTCAAACAGCAACATCACAAACCTCGGACCTGATGGATGGTGCGGCAGTAATGCCTCAGTGTGGGTCAGCGTTCAAAGTCGTTCCGCGGCCTTCCGTTTAAGCGTTTGGTTATGAGGCTGACTTGCTATTAGCCCATGTGGACTTTCCAATATCCTATTCCTGCGTTCATTTTGTCTCAGTGACTAAGGCATAGGAAAGCTAATGTGTCTGCTCCTGAGCATTACACGATTTTAAACGCATGTCAGCGCCTTGTACCAAGCTTTTAGCGTGGCACATTTTCAAAAACGCGTGCAGTGCTTTTAAGTTAGCGAGGTTTCCTTCAGATAGGCATCAAAATGGAACAGAAGGTTTTGCTGGACCAGTTTCATTAGATTGTCTGTCGCTTATGCTGTGGGCTTCCAACCGGTGTCCCATTGGGTAACGTCCCATGACCAATGAGAGTCTCAACGACGCCAAAACAACGATCTTAGCATCGCTAACTTAAAAGCACTGCACGCGATTTCGAATATGTGCCACGTTAAAAGCTTGGTACAATGCGCTAGCATGCGTGCAAAATGGTATAGTGTTTTGGACCGGTTATTTTTGTAATTCAGTGATCAAATTCATCAAGTGCCCATGTTCTCGCATTGGCGCCATAATTGGCTGGTTATAGCTGACTTAAGTGTCGGGGATATTGTTGCATCCGTAATCTGCAAGGGGCTAATGTTGCTTGTGAGACATCAGTGCGTCGAAATGGCTTTCCGTATTGCCTAAGTTCGAACCCACTATCCACGTGGGACTAGGAAGGAGGCTTGTGGCGTAACCTAACCGCTCTAATGGTTGCTGCCCCAGATTTTAACACGGAGAGATTGACACCCCTTGATCGATCTCGCCTTTTGGTACATGATACACTTATTACGGTCCGCAATACTTGCTGAGTAATCCAACCTAGCGTGCGATGATATATATATATATATATATATATATATATATATATATATACCACTAGTTTCTTGCACCCACTCTAACCTTGAACGTGCTTGATTGTCTTAGCTAAATTAAACCCAATGGGTAAGAACGAAATTGGATACCAACCTGCCATTTTCTGCGGCGCTCACATGTATCGTGCATTACCAAATGGTGAATTATGCTCCAGTCAGACTGCAGTTCACTGTCCCCCTAAAAATCGTAGTGACTATATCTAATAAAATACACACTGCTTTCATTGAACTCTACGGTAAAACTCCTCCCTTCATCGGTTATATGTTTTCTAGGGCCGTACGTCTTGTCCTGTGTGCAAGAAAAACCTTACATTGCATTAAAACTGCCCACGATCTGCGCCCTTAATCAAGCTATTTACCTACATCAGGTTTCATTTTCCTACGGATAGCAGAAAATGAACTGAGAACAGTGCACAGGGAATGAACAGTAAATTCCTACGGGTTACCAAACGCTGTTTTCCAAGTCCCGTTGGGCAGTTTGTTAGGATCAACGAAATAATGATAATATTAATCATAATAAATGCATCCAACTTAAACATAAAAGGAAGGACTTAGTGGTTGCTCCCCTGTAGCCCTGTAAACCGCGTAGATTCACAGCACCCACAGTTAACATCAAACGAATCCAAAATGCAGTCCAGGAGTACGTTGGAGTTATAGTGCTAATTAACAAAATACTAGTGGATGAGTGCGTTATTAAACCGTCTTGTAATTAATCTTACGGTGGGTGCAGTGACGACGGACTCAGATCACACGCGTAAAGCTGGTCAACAGAAATAACACAACAACTTGTTTTACAAACTCACCAACCAGATGGAAGAATTCCTTAAAAATAGCATCACATAATGCCAAAACTTACTCCGATTCTATTGATTTTACAATGGCTGCGCTGGGTGCAAATGGAATAGGGAAAACCCTGAATGGAGAGGTGCGCGCTTGATATGCGACCGACTCGTGGCTGCGCCACACCAATGTTTCTGCCGTCTTCGTTCTTGCACAACTAGCCAAATGATTGCAAACAGCAGTTGGAGGGAAGTGGTTGAGAATGTTACAGGGACCGACGTCATGTACCTCGACTTCTCCAAAGCTTCCAACCGCTTGACCATCCCATTCTGCTTCACAGGGTGGAACGCTATGCGTATGGGGATGCTGTCCCTTGGCTGAATCAAGAAGTTTCTGCTGAATCGGCAACTGCAGGTCGGAGTTCGAAGTGCACTGTCCAATCCCATACATGTCGAGTATGGAGTTCCACAAGCATCAGTGTTCAACCCGCGCCGGTTTCTGGTGTTCATTACTGAGCTTACGCTTCTGATTGCTTTGGTTTGCTCACTATTCTCTGATGATGTTATGATGTGGCAGTTGATCGCCGACCAAGGTGATCACGGTACACTTCAGCGACTCCCGGAGAGGGCATATGAATAGTCACTCAACAATCTGCTCCTGTTTAGTTTTTTCAAGCGAGGTAGTCCGCACTTGCCATCAGATGAACCTCATCAACAAACTTGGAGACCATGCTTTGTGGCGGTCACACAGGAGCGTATTACTCGAGGCTGATATGCGCTACTTAGACCAATCTGAGAAAGCAGCAAATAATGAGAAACGACACAATGGCATGCTGCAAAATGCGTTCTCGCGGTTTGATCCATCTGTCTCTCCGTTGTTGCTTGACGAATACGCGCAGTCTCTTGTAGTATATACAATCCTGACCTCGAAGTCCTGACGCATGAACGATCAAGCAGAGCCCGATTCTTCGCAGCGTAGAGCCAAGATTAAGTCATACTGTTTATTCATCGCCCATATCAATTTATGCTCATAGCCCTAAGACTGTATATCAGTCTACCAGATTTTGAGGAATCCTACCCATGTTTGCCGACACCTAAAGCAACTCAGCCACAACGTGAAGGTCAGAACCCCGCAGCAGATTTTAGCCACTCAATACAATCGGCTAAGAAGTCGCCTAAACTTTTACTATCTTCGTACATGTCAGTCATGCAGTTCATCCGCGTTTACTGTGTTTAAAAATGGATATAACGCACCTGTTTTACAAGATATGTCTTGTGTACATCGACAAAGGATATGATGTAAAGAAGCTTGTAAAATTGGCGTTAACCCACATAAAGAATGTTTGCTCTCTTATGCATGCCTCTCTGAACAATATGGTCAGTTCAACAAAATACTTATCGCTTTAGCACCACACATTCTTCTCATCACTTCCTGATTCTCTATCTGGCCATCCTACGGACTTCGGATATTGCAAATCCGACCCTATGATCACGTGGTGTTAAGGCGGGGTTGCCCACCCAGTAGAATGTGTAGCCAGCGCCTGCTTCATGCAATTTACCTTGCTCAGCGAGCCGGGTTTCACTGGGCGCCCCAATATCGATGTGATAGCGCGCCAGTTCCATCGCGACCAGTGCCGTGAGTCTCCCCGGGGGCTCGCTGGATTTCCGGTCCTGTAGTGTGCGCACGTTCCAGCACCCGATTCTAAGTGCTTTGCGCGCAGGCATACGATTGCACTGGTGGTCAATCGCACGCGAAATGGTCGTTGTGCTTCGGAGGTTTGTTTGAAGGACTCCAACCGGAGCCTTTGGCTCAGTAACCTGGCCCACAAGGCGGTTGGTGGCTTGGAGGTTTGTTTGAAGAATTCTGCATAGAGCATTTGGCCTAACTTCCTGACCCACAAGGCAGTGGGTGGTTTGGAGGTTTGCTTGAGGGACTCCGCCCGGAGCCTTTGGCAACATAGCCTTACCCACAAGGCAGTGGAGAGCAGATCCAGCTCGGGATTGTGATTGCAAAGACAAATTGAGATCTGCTTGACGGTCGTCACACGCAGCCTTCAAGGGACTGGAACGATTTCTATGTGTTTTGCGAAAGTAGTAGGATACACCTGCGACTACGGCCAGACGCAGTTGGGTTTTGGTGGGTTTGCACCAATTTGACCAGGGGCTGCTTGGCTTGAGGCGGGCGGTAACAAACCATTGAACACCCGGAGGTGTTTCCCACCGTCAGAAACTGTTACATGTGTGTCGTCCGCTAAACCGCTGAGCCGATGAGCAAACACAGACACATACAGATCGATTAACCTATAGCTGATTCGTCCACCCTTTTCCTTTGTGCTGATTGGTTCCTTTTCGACATATTCATCTGGTGTAACCTACAAGCTATTCATTACAGTTTTTGAGACGTCCCATCCGGTGTGTGTTCTTATTCACTTCTTGCGCGGACTAAGGGTCCAGGTGCGATCCAGCAATACTCGAGTAATACGTATCAGAATGTCGACGGTTGCTACGAGCCCTCTTCCGGGACTGTCATGTCTGTGGCCTGATGGTGCAGAAAAACCTTCTCTACAGTAGTAGATACAGTGGAAAACATCTTTCCAACATCAAATGACTCTCTTTCCGGTGTTAAACCCCTCTAGCGTGTTATCCGATACCCATTGGATTATGTTATTCCGCCAAACCCTTGGATCAGAAGGACAACGTCTTTTTGACGCTATGAACTTGATGGCTAAGACCAGTATTGTGCACGTGATCCAGTTGGTTGAGGAATTGTGGGAAATCCAACAAAGTGTGTTTTCCGCTCGTTATCAGTTTTTCAAGCCACAGCAACGATGCGGAGAAAGTGTAAATGATTTCATTGCCCGCATTCATCAAGCTACACCGGAATGCCGGTACAATAAC